CCCCGATCCCCATCCCAATCCCGCTCCTCCAGCCCCGATCCCCATCCCAATCCCGCTCCCCCAGCCCTGATCCCAATCCCAATCCCAATCCCGCTCCCCCAGCCCCGACCCCGGTTCCGACCCCGCTCTCTCGGTCCCGCCCTCCCCGTTGTAAGGAAGAACGGGAGAACCGCACGTGGACATCAAAATAGTTTTATACAGATTATTGATCTCGGTATACAGGTAAAAAACAGGCGGCGCGGCTGAGGGCAGAGCCAGGCGCAGCCCCGCGCCGCCCCCGCCCCTCCCGCTGCCAGCGAACGGCGATTCAAGTCCCTTGGAAAATGTACATTTATTTGAAGGCACAAGTGCACGGAGCGACAGCGACAGCGCCCAGGGGACCGGCTCCTCTCGGCCCGGGGCACGGATGGACGGACAGACGGACGGAGCGTGGGCACGGGAGCCGCTCCTGCCTTCCCAAGTGCCCAGGAACAGCCCCAGGGCTGGCCAAGCTCCAGGCACAGATCTGGAGCCAGAGCCAGGCACCTCCCTTGGTCCTGCTGTGTAGAAAAGTCTCACACGTTTGCAAAATATTTCAAATCCACTCACCTTAAATATACACACCTACTCCCACAGCTAATTCCAAAATGCATTCTGAGGGAAAGGGCCAGTTCCTAACAGGACTTATTGCTACAGGGACAAAGCAGGGCCAGCTCTGTCCATTACCTGCTGCCAGAGCAAAACAAAGCCCAAACACAGCCCTAAGAGCCATTTGCAAACTCGACTTTAAATAAAACCTGTGTTTCTTGTTAAAGGAGGAACAGTTCAGAGATGAGGCAGGATTAATGCTACTGTGTGCTGGTGCCCTGCAGCCCATTGCACGTGGAAAAGGGACAAAAAGGGACAAAAGCCCATTTCTTGCTCAGCACAATGAGCTGGGAACAGGCACAGAGATGTTCATGGCTCCTGCACAAGGCAACCAGAGCAGCTCCTTCACAGCAGATGTGGGACAGGAGCACGGGGAGTGCTCAGCATCATCTCCCAGCTCCCAGACCACCTCCCCAGCCACACCTTGTGTTTCCTGCAATGGAATTCCCTGTGGAACAGGGAAGGTGTCTGAGGGCTCTCTCTGTCCCTGCACAGAACCAGTTGAGATGATGGCCATGGCAGCACAGGTGCAGCCATGTGGTTCTGGAAGGGCATTTCCACAGGTAGGGGTGAAGAACAGCTTCTGGCCCAGGTGACAAGGCCCATGAGACTTCAGTGGGGCTGTTCCCCCAGAGGAGACCAGGTCAGAGCCCTGCAGAGAAGACTCCAAAGAGAATTTTGGGTGCAACTCCTCCACCCACAGACACCACGTGCAGGTTTCACCAGTGGACAGCCCCACGTCTCTGGAGGACAGAGCAGCTCAGGGCAAACTCGAGGCCTAAGGCTCCTGCACCCCAAAAATCGGGTCAGTAGGGAAAAAAAATAAAGAAAATGAGCAAGAAAGGTAGTGCCTATTCTAACCCCAGCCTTCTACTTCTGCAGAAAGCACAGGAACATCAGAGATACATAAAGGCTTTGGAAATCAAACATTTCAACCATTCTCTCCTTCTGGACATCCCTTCTATTCCCCACAAATCCCACATGTCCTGGGAATGTGTGCTACAGCTCCTCTTTCCAACCTCCTGCCAAGTGCAACACAACAAAATTTGGCTGCTTTTCCCTTCTCCCTCAGCACAGCTCAGCCCTTCCTCACTCCCTGCACCACAGCTACAGCCACACACACAGGTGGAGCTCCTGCTCCACACCCAAGGGATGCTGCAGGAGCAGAACGGAGCCAAGTCAGCAGAAAATTTGCTGCCTGCCATCACCAGAGCTCGGTGATTAAATGGTACTAGGTGGACAGTGGCAAATGGTGCAGGTTTTCTTCAGAATTTAGCACCAAAGTTGGGCCATGGATAGTCCCATGACCTCTCCCTGCTGCTCCAGAAATGCTCAAATATAAAGCAGTGGTCAGATTTCACTGTTTCTTCCTGAACAGTAGTGGATTTGAGCAAAATTGATCAGGTTTTCTACAAATCAGTGAATCAATTTGCTTAGAACAACCTTCCAGCTGCTCTTTCAGGCACTGAGCTATTGGAACATGAACATAAGACCCCAAAGCCAAGCCTATGACACAAACAAAACACAACCAGGGTGATGGGGATAAAGCTTCTTTGCTCCCCAGAAGTGAGGAACAGCAGCATGGCAGAGCTGGCAGGCAGTGGAGCTCTGTCAGAGCTCACTGCAGCTCTGACTCTCTCCAGCTCACATCAAGAGCCATGTCATCTCCCCCAGCCTCCAGGAGGCCAAGTCACTCCCTGAAAGCAGTGACACATTAGAGGTGCTCCACAAGCACTGCAGGTCACAGCAACCCATGGTGGGAAAAGGTCCAAGGAAAGAGCAGAGAATCAAAGGCTTTTTTTTTTTTTTTTTTTGGCTTTTCTGAGGGCTGCTCTGCAGAGTGTGGAGTCATGTGAAGGATCTGGCTTCCCCCCAAGCATGTAGTGGAAAACATGAAATCAAAACAGGTAGAGAGACCTTTTTTGGAGTGTTGTGACCATGACCCCATGCAGGTCTTGGGGCACTTCCCCACCATCTGCTCCCTATGCTGAGATGCTGGGGAAATGCTAAGAGCTCTGCTGGCCACCCTGTTAAAACTGTCTTTCAAACCACATCATATAAACCTCCAGATCTTGACCCAGAAATGTAACAAACCACATCCCTATCTCAGAAACAGCCTCCAACACCCACTGAATGCCTGTACACAGGAACAGAGCAAACAGAGGGAAGCTGGGAGCTGCCACCCACCCCTCTGGAGGACACATCCTGAAGCTAACATTTCAAAACTGAACCACAGGGATCGCCCCCCACCACCGAGTCTGGTCCATGGGAACCTCCTTTCCTGCCCTGGAGGTGTCAGTGTTTGCTGGAGTACAGTGTTTCTTCCTCAGTGTCTGTTTCATCCTGGAATTCGTGGCTCAGGAGGGATTTCTTGGAGCCAGTGGACATCATGCGGATTTCGTCCTCGTAGTCGTCCTGGTGCTGCCGGAGGCGGTGGAAGCCATCCTTGTGTCTGTTGGACTTGATGGAGCACACACACCAGATGATGCAGGCAGTGAGCACCAGGGCAGACATGCTGGCACCTGCCAGAGAGAGGACACAAAAGTTAATGCCATGTTCCCCCCATGCCAGAGGCTCCCAGGCTTGCCAGCATCTCTCCTCCCCCTCCTGCAGTCATAACCACTTTCTTCACTTCTTTGTGACCCTGCTCTTTCCTCCTAGGCCATGGAGGACAGGAGAGCTGCTTCCAGAACAGGACACACTCGATTTTCTGTGCTTGAAATCTAGGAGATTATCACCAAGCTCCACTACAGACCACTGGGTCTAAACTCCCACACACCCCTCCCCAGCAGCTGCCACCTTGAGAAAATAATCTCTTCATGCTTACCTGATGTCACAACCCCTAAAAAAGCCTTGAAGAAGCAAGATCTCCTATGCACACAAGCTCTCCCCATTCCAGATATCTGAAAGTACATTTTGGACCCTCCAAATCCCTGCAAAACACTCTACTTCTTCCCTCCCTCCTACAAGCAGAACCAAGGGCTGTTGGACAAGTTTGCAAGGACAAGAGTGTGCTCAGAAGGGAAAACTGGAGATGGCTTAGGCCTGCAGGCTGCTTTCCCAGTTCAGTGGAGGGTCAGCATGAACTGGTACAGAAAGCACAGCTCAAAGCTTTGATAAAAAGTATCACTGTACCTGCCACAGTTATAACCAGCTCTCTTGGCAGTCCAAAAATCCTGTTTTCTGTGTCAAACACTATGAACACAGAGCTGGGTGCATCATCACGTACAAAGACCTGCAGAAAGACATGAGAGGTTAGATCATCTCAGAGCTTAGGGATCCAGACAAAAGAAACATTTGTCATCTGCCTGGTCCTGCCCTGATCAAAGAAAAGTGCCATGAAAAGAAAAGGTACTCCCAAAACCACCCCGCTGTGCTGGAAAGTTGTTCGCCATCCATTCTGTCAAGGCAGAAAACAGCTCCTGATTTCACCTAATCAGCAGCTAAACACAGGCACAACCAGGCAGAGCCCAAAC